GGTGGGAATGACTTTCTTGTGTGATCACAGCGGGAAGCTCTTCACGAAGGAGCAATGCACACTGAAGGATGTTGCCTACAACCCTGAGGTGTGGTTGAGGTTTAGGCCTTATATATAGCAGTACTATAGATAGATATGGGGGTTAAGGTTACAGGCTATGTTGATCGAGCTACCCATCGGAAGAGTTATATCGACGTATAATGACATATATTAGAACCATTCTTTAGCCCCGTGGGCAGTCAGCGTGAACTCTTGCGTAGGCCATTTTGGCCACGTGCCAAGCTTCGGTGGATACAGGAGAAAGGTGTCTATCGGCCTACACGCTTCAGCTGGCGCCCCGCTGGCTTTCAATAAGACTTGGGGTTTGCTTCCATGTTTCAATATTTGATTTCTTTGAAGGACCCAACCCACGTGGATGGTTTTTCAATGGTTGCTTATATTCCTGTGCCCGCCAGTGATCATCCCAGGTTGGTCGGTTGAGGGGGCTGATGCGACGGGCTCCTTCGTCAAAGCTCAAGAAACTCCAAAAGATAAGGGAATCTGCTTCCTCCATGGGCTGGCCTTCACGAAAACGCTACAAAGCTCCTTGCTCAATTACGCTCGGAATTCTTTACGGGTGAGATATGTTTTCCATGTTTTTTCAATCCTATGTAGGTAAAAGGTGTTGACCTGGTCCCATTCCCAACGCTCGCGAGGTTTCTGGTCAAGGCTGCGACCCCCTGGCCCTCTCAGAGCTTGCCTCATCGTCGTCCACCTGTGGCTCCGGGGTGTCTAGCCACACGGATGAAAGGCTCAACAGGATCATTTCCCAGTTGGAAACTTTGAAAGAGAGGTTTGGAAAGGGTGGCCAGTCTGAAGAGCCAGACCATGTCATGCATGAGGAAGTTGGGGCACGTTCCACTCCAACCACCACCAGTCTTGCTGAAAATGAGTCTGAGAGTCGTGTGGCCGCGGTGACTGCCATGCTTTTGAAGCATGCTGGACCCAAGAGTGCACCCCCATGTGCCAAGAAGGCTGACAAGGTCCCTGGCAACCCGAAGGTTGACAAGGTGAACGAGCACGTGATTCCTTCTTCAGCCACTGGTCCCAAAAAATCCATGTTTCCCTTAAAAACAATCAGGTTTGTTGGAATGATGTTTTGGGATTGAAACTCTTCTTTGCCCCCCACCCAAGAAGTTCATATGTCATGTCCACTTGTTAAATGCTCATGGCAAGTGTCATGCCTTCTAAATCCAAATCACGGTTTCAGTGTCACCACTTTTTTGGAGGTCATTGAAGTCCTTCAGAAGCAGCTGGCCAGACCTCCTGTAGAACCGTTCCCCGTTTCTCAGCAATACGTTCGTGAGATTGAGAAGGCACGTGGAGGGGAACCAGAACCAGAGGAGCATGGCGACGCTGAGCCCAAGGAGCCGGAGCCAGCAGCCGGTGATTCTTGTGGGGATGGAACTGGGCAGGGTTCCACGTGGAACTACAATGAGATTAAAACGAACTTCATGGGAAAGCTTCGTGAGGACGGGCACTCTTTTGCGTCAGCGAAAGAAATGTGGAACAATAGTACCGAGAAGAAAGCTTACCTCGGGAATGTACCGCTGCCGATTTTAAAGAAACGTAGGTTTGTCCCCAAAGACGCTACGTCCAACCCTTGGGCGGTCTTGGGCGCCTAGTTGCTAGCAGGGTCACTGATCTTGAAGTGCACCAATAAGCATTGGTCGCCGGGGGAGGCACTATGCTTTGAGTCAAAACGGAATGCCCACGCTGGACGATGTTTTTGGCGGTTCTAGCTTGCCATCCGCTTCAACAAGTTCTTTTGAACCAGGTTGTGAGCCTTGATGTTCTCAAACATTCCATCTCGAGTTTCTTTCATTTATACAGGGGGTTGGGCCGTTCTTGTTTCATTCCAATGGTCGTCTTGGAGATGCTTCGTTGGCGCTGCCCTGCGGTGCTCATTCTTTGCACCCTGTTGGTACAATGGAATGGCCAACTGAAACATGATATTGACCCTTGGTTTCAGCCATGTACATCAAATTTTGTCTTGTGGTGAATCTGGTTTGGTTCCCTCATGCATGTCTGGTGGAAGAACCACTGGTATTTGCATGGATCCACCGCTCTCTGTTAAGGACCGGGACTTCCTTGAACTTTTCGCAGGCAAAGCTGAAGTTTCCCGAGCTCTGCGTGAGGTGACCTGGTTTCAAAACATATGGTTTTCTTCAAGCCAACACCCTTCGTTTCCAGCAGACATCCGGCCTCTTGATTTGGCCGCCCTGCAGGCTTCCCTGACCGGAGCGTCGATGGATGTGGAGGACCACCCAGAGTTCGACTTGACGTCAAACGCCGGGTTTGCGTCCCCGGGACTGTACAAGAAAACATGGTTTTGTGTGTGTTCTTTTTTGGGGGGAGTTCCCCTCAACAATGACAGGCATCTTTCCACGTACGAAAACTCATTTTCTGGAAACAGGACCCTCTCACACCAATATGGTGCCTCATGGACTTTCCCTCAAAAAATCAAGGCTGGCGCTCAACGAAGTTCTCCGCTGCAGAGCGGGTTCCCTGGTGGTGTTCGCACCGGTTTGCAAATCCTACTCTGCAGTGTGCCTTGGCGAGAGGAGACTATCTTTCTCTAGTGGGGTCGCGGTGGTTTTCATATGGCGCCCTCCAACTTTTCATTTGCAAAAAATAATAACTGTTTGACTGTATCTACATAAGTTCTAGCAAAACGATCAACCTGACCTGACCAGGTGCCAATTCACTCATGGCCGCAATTGGATCAATCCTTACGGGAACTCTGGCTACACGTTTGTCAGGGTCGGTACCATACTGGGATGTCGCACATGTCTTCTGATTATGGTCTGCTGCTGGAGAGGATTACGATTTCTGCTGGAACAACCATCTGGGAGCATGCTGCCTGATCTCCCACGGATGCAGTTCTTGTGGTCAACAATCAAGGCGGGTCCCAGAGCAAGCCAAACCCCTGGTGTGGGCTAGTGACTAGTGAGTGTAAAACCTCTCTGTATATTGGAAACTACTTTAACCCGAATCACAATGTTTTCTACAGTTCACAGCTTTGCGATTCTGGGAGGCATGGCGCGTGCCCTGCTACATGGGGAAGTTTGGTGGCCGCACGCCCAAACCGCATACTCTGTGGGGCAATGATTTTCGAATGCTTTCCGCTCTGGGTGCTGTGGGGGGCACCATGACACGTCAAGAACAAGAACGCTGTGTGGGGCGAACTTGCCGCACATACGTGGACAAGAACGGTGTGAAGCGCCATGTTGGAAAGAAGAAGGAACTTTCGGAATCTCAGTGCCTTATTCTGCAATGGACAGGTACCTTCCTGTGAAAGTGCTTGTTGGCACTGTTCCTTCAGTCCACAGTCCACACACGCAAAATCGTGTTTTCTATCGGTTGGGTGTTGAGCATATGAACGCTTTGAACTCTCACTATTGTTCAGGTACGCGTGAACATTAACGATCCGGTGCCCTGATTAATGTGCTCAATTACCACCAGCTACCACAAACAGGTTGAATAAACATACCTATTCCAACAATCTCGGGACCCTTCAAAATTGGCACCGGACTCCAAGAGTTGTTCTATTGGATCTCTCTACCTGGTTACCACTTTAGGTTTCAAGGTTTAAATGTGAGTGTTTGCTACGCGTGCAAGAGAAAGGACCCGCCGACGCTTCCCATACAGGCACTACACCAGGCAGTTTGGACAATTCATCGCGCGCCTGGTTGAATGCGAAACGACTGACGCTGGCCACAACTTATGTTTCCCAGGTTTTCATGGCCTCACAAGTCGGGTCTGCAGCACTATTGAACATTTGTTTCCTAGATTTTAGGGACCAAACAATGTCTAAGGAGGAATTTCCGTTGCCAGGGCCAGTGGAGAAGGTTAGCTTCCCCACGGATCTCACCGATTTGGAGCTTTTCCGCAAGTTTTGCGTGAAAGATTTGGTGGGTGGTCAAGCCGACCTTTGGCCAGAGGCGGGTATGTTAACTACAATTTATATAAACAACACATTTCCAGCCCACCCCAACCAGGAATAGTCATCTGTTGTAACCACCCTTTCTTCACGCTCAACCTCATCCTTTCTGCCTGACAATTTGGTGGTTTGGATGGTTGACAACCGCCCATTCCCCTTCCTTATCCAGACAGGCGGAGATCTGGCCTGTCATCCGGTACCTCGCACGGGACAAGCGCGCGGCTATTCCGAACCGCTGGGCGCCTTGTATCGGTGTTGACACGCGTTCTGTTTGATTTGGCCAAGCAACCCTCAAAGAGGTTCCTGCACTTAACGGGTGCCCCCCCATGATCTTTGCATGTACCGTTGGAAAGTTGTTTTTTTGTAAGACGTATGGCCCCCAGCTACGTCCCAGGAAGAAGTCTTGAAAGAGCTGGGCCTCCGTTAGCTCTTTGTTTGAACGTGGGCTTCGCGTAAATTTGGGTACAGCGCCCACGTGGTTTGAGCCACGCAGGGCATTCTTGCGGGGGTAGTCTCTTGAAATTCGCGCTGGTGTGAAACACTGCTTATAGATCAGGACTAAAACATTGCCCTTTGGGAAGAATAAGTCTGGGAGTGGCCGCCTGTGTTTTTATGAACAAGAACTCTTGAATGTGCGTTGGCACCTGGGAAAGTCGTGCCTGTGAATTTCGTGTGCCACAGCAGCCTGATAAACTCCTGTTGAATGAATAAGGTCTATCCGTGAAGTGTCAACCACCTCCCCGTGGTCACGGTTTTCACGGCGCGGTCAAGACCACGGACTCATTAAAAAACACTTCAACCACTGTAGCGTGAAAAAGCGTGCATTTGACCGTGAAAAAACCGCTCTTGACCGTGATTTTTCGTGAAAAACGTGAAATTCACATTTATACAATTTTGGAGATCAGGATCGATTTTCACAGATACTTCACGGATAGTTCCGGAGTTTTTGATGTTGTAGAGCCTCTTTGAAGCGTGAACGCGCGTGTAGCCTTCCCTGACAGCCTTAAGCCTTGCACCCATGGGGAAGAAAGGCGGCAATTTGGCAGCCGCTGTCGCTATGCTCACTAAGTCGGCAGATGCAGATGATGATGAGAGTGTGATCATGGAGGTCGCACCGCCCTCTGGGAAGAGGGCTGCCGAGGGTGAGCGAGTTGGTGACCGGAGGGCTGCCCCAAAACCCAAAGTTGCCCCCGCTCCCACACCGCCCGGGCCAAAGCCGAAGGCTGCGCCCCTACCTAAGGCCATTATGCCGCCTAGCCCAATGGCCAAGTCGGCGCCTGCTCCCCCTGTGGTGGCACCGGCGCCTAAGCCCAAGGCAAAGGCGAAGTCGCGTGCCAAGCAGGTGAAGACAGATGCTTTGACCGCACCCACCTTTGAAGTCTCTTGGGAGAACATCAGTCTGGTCCAAGAACACTTTGGACTCACTGAGCAGGAAGCTGTGGAGTGCTTGCTTCAGGTCGTCGGTCCAAGCAAGGCCGGCGAGAGATTCTGGAGCAAATACAAGACGACTAAGAAGCCTCCTGTTCCAGAGCCCAACGTGAAGAAGTCTGAAGCCGCGGAGGCGGACGCCGCGGAGGCGGACCTAGCTGACATTGATAGGCAGATCGATGAAGACTTCGACGAGCTCTTCTCAGCGACTGAGGCTGACGAGGAGGATTTGGATGGTGAGGTGCTTGAGCCCGCCGAGATCGACTGTGAGGAGACTCAGCCCATGGCTGTGGACGGCGCATTTGCTGACACGCAAGTGGACACGCTTGCAGCTGGGGGTGCCCCTCCAGAACCTACTCATGAGGTTGAGGCGTGGTGCTTCAATATGGTTGAGTTAATTAAAAACCTTCGTTTCTGAAGTGCTCCGAACGGTTTTGGGCATTCTAAACGCCAGGTCCCGGAACTGGATACGGACAACCATTCTCTGCTGACTCTGGGGAACATGAATTGCGCAGCTTTATACACGATTTCCCAAACCAAACGGGCTGCGCTTCAAATTTTGAAGCGTGATATTTTTTGTCTTAAGGGATTCAATTTGCAAATATGGGAAACCCTCTTACCTGGGAAAATTGAGGACAGCGAAGACTTTGCGGCTTGGGCAGGAGCATTTGTCCAGGCAAGCTTCCGTGACTCAACTTGTTGGAGCCAAACCGACCAAGCATTTGTCGCCATCAAAAACGGAATCCACGTATCTCAATCCAGACAGTGGCATATTTCTAATTTGTTGAGTTTCCTCCTTTGTGTTTGCGCGCGTGGTTCGAATGAGCCTGTCGTGAACAATCCAAGGTTGGGTCCATCCGCCTCATCAGCTCATCTGGGGTCGGCAGATTTGGGAGAGATCGCCAACGCTTTGAATTTGATTCAGAGCCTCCTCGGAGGCAGCAGCTTTGCCAAGGGCTTGGCAGATGAAATTGCTCACAAGGTTTCTGCCGCAGAAGAGGTTGCTAAGGCAAAGCTTGGGGAGTCTTCTGCTAGCAGACTGGGCGAGGTGCCGGTTGCAAAGAGTGGCGCAGTGCCTGCTGCTTTGGGCAAGCCTTGTGAGACACCCGGCGAGACTGCTGATGCTCCAGCTGCTCCTGCGGAGGCTGAGCAGCCTGAGGTGGAGCCAGCCCCGATCAACCCAGCTGCTAAGGAAGAGGTGGTGAACAGCGCAACACACCGGGCTGCGCACGCCAGGCTCACACGGCGGATGCAGAGCGCCTCTGCCGTGGATTTCCCAAACATGCATCGGATGTGGAGCGGCTCACGCAAGGACGGCTCTCCTTTTTTCAATTCTTAAGTCTTAAGAGTCTCAACGGTATCCCACGTTTAAGTTATTTGTTGTATCTTGGCTAACGGTCATGCCTCCAGGACAAGGCTGAACTTTTGAAAAGGTTTGTTCGCAGCGGGGAGAACATTGACAACATTGAGATGCAGCTGAAAGTCAGCCGGGAGTCTGAAGGCGAACTGAAGCGTGGCAAGGAATGCCTGACCATTGCTGAGATGAAAGCCAGAGGCATGTCCCAGTTGCTAGGTAGCCGTCAAAAAGACATTTTTGTTTTGTTCCTTCCAATTGGGCTCTCTTTCCACCAGTTCCTTGTTAGTTTTTCATCCACATTGAATTTTTGGAAACAGCCAAGAAAGTTCCACGGCTACAATAAATCTTGGCCCACCCAGGAGCAAGATTGCCGCAGTGATTGCGCGAGGCGGTGGCATCCCCGATGCCGATGCGCCAGGAGACGCTGAGTCCACCCGTTTCTGGGTGACCACAGCCATGACTGCAACAGAGACGGAGAGGGTCAATGTCACTGCAGCAGCCAACGTGAATGTCGCGGCCACTGAGGCCAATGTGGTTGGCTTGCTGTCCGGTGGCAATGCTCCGCAGATGGGAAATGTGAGTCAGTTGGCTCTGACTAATGGTGACAGCGGATCTGCAGCGCCAAACATGGAGGCTTTGCTGGCTTGTGCGACCGGTCGCGCTCCTGCTCCAAACGGAGCCCCCAAGGCCAAAGCAAAGGCCAAGGCAAAGGTGAAGGCACAGACCCCCAAGACCCCAGCGGAACGTCGTGTGGCCGTTCGTGGATTGGATCACTTCAGGTATATTTTCTTTATGGTTTTCTCGGCTGAATCAAACCCACTAGAATTTTTTCAAAAGAAAATCTAGCTAATCACGGGTGCTTCAGCCAAGGCAGTATCTTGAAGAAAGAGCTCAATGGCGCAGCTATTGGTTTGGAGCTTCCGGGGGACAACGGCCTTCGCCTTCAACTGGACCGGAAGAAGGCAAGTTTGGAATCTCTTCTGGATGAGCCACTCTTCCAAAATAAATTGTATGTGCCTCTGTTCTTTTTTGTGACACCCTGGACCCTGCACTCTGAACTTTTAGTTCTAAGTGTCTTCAGCCTAAACATGATAAGTGTATTGGACTCAGGTTGAGGGATTGCGCTGATGAAGCGCTGGAGGACCTTGAGATGCGTGCAAACGTGGAGGCCCTGATCGTTCTTTTGGTATCTTTTGAACTTCTCTTTTGGTGCAATACCTTTTCAATACAGGGTTGGCTACCAACGTTCATGGTGATAGAAATCCCAAAATATGGTTTTCGTCATCGATCTACCACTTCCGCAGGTGACATCGACCCGGATGATCCGGGCTCAGGCGCGCGCTGTGGCATCGGAGCTGAAGAAGACCACAGACTCATCCTGAGCAGCTGCTGGCGTCAGATTTTCCATTCATGGTGACTCATGGTGAGTCGCCTTCCGTTGACTTTGCGCCATGATATAGCCTGAAGGAAGTCATGTAGGACATGTAGAAAGGTTGTTTGGTATTCTTCCGGTCCATGTTTTCTGTTTGGCGCAAATGTGGGGGGAACGCCCATTCACTTTTTGGCCATGTGGCACGGTGAATGATAGCTCATACGCCTTGCATTCGGGCTGGGCTGAACCTAGTGTGAGTGCGGAGGCCCAACCACTCCAACCACGAAGAAAACAGTGTCATTCAGGGGACTGCAAGGACGTGAGCCGTGAACCTCGAATAAAACAATACACCTGTATATGATATAGATATACATATATGTATACAATTTCCCCCAACGCAGGTGCTGTGCACTCTGAAAGCTTACTGCGGGAACGCCTCGACAGAGCGTTTCGAGGTTGCAAGATTATAGGTGGTTTTTCTTCTTCCCTTCAAACTACCCGCTAGAACGGATATAAGCTCAGGTCTCCCTATACACAATTTGCGGAGCTAAGGCTGGCCTACAGCATTGGCTCTGGCTATACCAGTGTCGCCCATTCCAGGATGCTGGCTGAATGCTATGATTCCGATCTGGTTTCGTACCTTGTATGTGAACCCGGGGTATCGAAAGGACCAATTTTCAACCTTACCCCTTTCCCACCATTTACCATCCCAACAAAGGTCCCGCCGTGAGCGCGGCCTTCGAGAAAGAGCTGCCCGACAATCCATCGGATTGCCGGTCGACCCGACCTGGGTGTCGGTCCCATTGCTCAAAGATTTGGAGACCGGTGACATCGAGATGGTATCGTGGCCTATGCTACTCCCAAAGGACTTTGCTCTTTGCCTAATGAAACAATCTTTTCCACATCTTTCTTTAGCTGTTGGTAGTCGTATCAACCCAATATAGGAGGTCATCCGATCGTTCTCAAAGAACAGTTCATTCATCCCAGGCAACTGCGCTTCTCTCGGAGGGCTACCTCAAGGCTTTAGTTGGTGACTTTCAGGCAGTGCCACACTATTGGGAAGGCATGCTGCAAGACTTTCCGAACCACCCAGTCAAGGAGTCTGACCCAAACCTCCGTTCTAGCGTCGGTTGCACGCTCTACTGAGACTTGGCTTCGCTTCAACTGGGTTTACTATTATGTGTGGTAGGGCCCCTGCCAAAACTAGCAACCTATATAATGGAGCTTTGAACATTGGGCCCTGTCGGATGTCGGCAGGTGATGAAGTACAGTCCAACAATGATAGCTGGATGTTCCTTGTGTGGGCCTCTGACCTTTCCCCATACTCAACAAATTCTGTGGCGTCTCGCTGGCCAATCGCTATTGTTCCAGCATCCCGCTATGTAGTGGAGGCCGGTGTGAATTTGACCTTGCAAGCCCTCACTGCGGAAATAACGAAATCTTTCAACCAGCTCTCATCTTCTGGCATCAAGCTCCGGAATTACAAATCTATGGGTGGTGGAACAGAGTTTTGGTCCAAATTGGGGATTGTTTAGTTTTTTGTCTGTGTGTTTAGTCGAATTGAATTTAGACGAACTGCGGGTCAGTCGGGGTGATTCTCGCAAATGTGAGGTTGCCACACTGCGCTTTTGGGTGCTCGGGTTTCGCGGTGATTGGAAAGCCCTAGTGCAGATTCTGAACCTGGAGCGGAGTTACAACGACAACAAGGAAGGATATGTTTGTGATTTGTTTTGTTTTAAAGCCATGTAGTGCATAACTCATGGGCCCAACAAACACTTTTAGACAGGTATGTTTGTGGAGCATCTTCCACCACTAATTTGTTTGCGCTTGCATTTATTGACCCGGGGCGCCTGTGAGGTATGCTTCCTCTGCGACGCAACGAAGGGGGCCGCCAACGACGTCCACATGTGCTATACAGACACATCTGACTCAGCTCCATATTGGGCTTCACTGTATGTCACGGAACCATGGTCATCGCGCCCAAGCTATGCTGGACTGCGGGCTTTCCACATCAGTATGGTCGTTCCAGACCTGCTTCACGTGTTCAATTTGGGGGTGGGACAACACGTGGCCGGTGGAGTTCTGAAAAGACTGCTAACAGAGAGAACTGCTTTCCCAGGAAACGACTTGGATACGAGGATGCGAGCTGCAACTGCTTCTCTACGAGCGTACGCTCGGACTCATCAGTTTCACCTTCGAATGAAGAAGATCACGAAGAAACGGCTTCGATGGACCCGAGGATACCCAGAGCTTGCATCCTCTGGGTATGATTGCTTCGTAGTGCTTTCCTGGCTGGAAGAAGTCCTGGACTTACACAAAGCTGTTTACCCAGAGCTCTACACCCTTTGCTGGTCAAGCAATAAGAGCATGCGCCTTCTTTACGCCAATAAAACCTATTTTCTGAGCGACGATGAACGAAGGACGCTCCGCTTCCTAGGCCAAGTTTTTTGCAGCTGCTACGTTGCCTTGGCCCACGCGGCCATTCAAGAATGCAAGATGTACTGGCGTTGCGTTCCGAAACTACACCTACTAGTCCATGTATACTCAGCCCGGAGAAAAATCAACCCAGCACGTTACTCAACGTGGATGGACGAGGACTTTTTGAGGAAGACTAGTAAAACACTAGGTCTTACAGCTGCCTCCGGTGCGCAGCTGCGCTTTCTTCAGCGATGGGTCCTGCAAGTCCCGGGTACCCTGGACCGATTGCACTCCAGCGGCCAGTGAAAACGGGCTGGGGGTCCGGACTGATTGTCCGAGAAACTCGTTGTTCACGAAGTGGTACCGGGCAAAGGAGCGTGCTTTCAATTTTCTCACCAGTTTGATTCTAAATTGGCCCAGATACTTTGTATAAATGATTGGTGCATTTTGGTACACTTCCTAAATCCTGTTAAACAGGGACGCGTTCATTCAGCCTCCCCTTCACGCCGGGTGTTTGAAACCTCGCCGACTCGTCGTTTGTTTTATATTAGATATATTTTTGTTTTTTGTATGTACGTATATATACATATAATATATACACGCATATATATATATATATAGGCTCAAGAGCAAACCTGTCTCCGTGGCTCAAGACTAGAGCTCAAACACTGTGGCGCTGGAAGGCTGATGGAAGTGCACGTGTGCTTCATGAGGTTGCCTGTATGCTAAGCGTGTGCTTAGTTTCTCCCCACCCTCCCTACCTGGGGCTTGCAAGCGTGAAGCCCGTGAAAAGCGTGAAAACCGTGAATGACCCTTTTTTCTCGGTTTGTTTGTTTTTCCTCAAAAATGTGGTCGGGAGCAGTATGATCATTTTAGAAATGATCGAATGGTCCTCTAGGCAATGTCCTCCGCGTCGTGCTCGTGCATGAAGTGACCAAGGCGACTGGGAGGCATGCAGATGTAGAGCCGGTCAGCGGCTGCATAGCCTGGGATGGTGGTGGCGAGGGGAAAGGTAAAAGTGGGAAGGTAACACAGGAAATTGTTGCAGGCAAGAGGCGGGCAGGGTCCACAAGGGCTCTGCGGCGGCAAGTGGAGGCATTGGTGAGGCCAAGTGCAGAACAGAAGAGGCGTGGTGTAGTGTAGCGTTTGCCGTTGTGCAAGACGGAACATTGTAAGGTGTGTAGGTCAGGAATGGTGTGGTTTGCGAGGAGGGTGCGGAGTTGAGGTAAGAAGGACGTGGTCTCCGGCTTATATTCCTGAAAACGGCCTTTGCCGAGGGTACCACCGGCCAAGAAAGCTTCGAAGAGGCGCGCTGCCATACATGCCGAAGCAGAAACATCTCGCCAGGTTGCTGTGTAGTGGAGTGTGGGTTGGATGTCTGTGAGGATGGACTGAAAAGTGTTAGGAGGGTTGAGTTGGAGGAAGAGGGCCGTGCTCCGTCTGGGCACCTCTTCCATGATCCCGGCGTAAATGCAGTAGTCGCAGTGGACGTACTGCAGGGCCCCTTTGATCTGAAGTGTGTGTGGTCGAGGTGGTGGTTGCGGGTGGCGGCGGACCATGAAGGCCACTAACCAGGCTATTGCGGGTGGGAAAGGGAGTGTCAAGTGTGAAGGGTGCATGAAGATGGCCTGGAGCTTGGCGGTGATTGCTGCTGCGTCAGTGGGTTTGCCAGGCGCTGTAGGTTGTGCAAGGCATCTTCTGGTGGGCTACCTTGGCGTAGTATATCTGCTATGGCTGCCGCTGACCAAGCCATGAAGTGCGAAGCCGCGACGGGGAGATGTGCGTGAGAAGTAGCAGGAAAGTGTAACTGTAACAAATGAATGAGGAATGGGTCATGGGGAAGCTGTGCTGCTGTGATTTGTTCGTGAGGCAGCGCATGTGGTTTCGCAAATAGACTGTCGTAGAAGCTCTGTATACTGTCTGTGTTGTCTTAGTAGCAACTCAAAAGCTTTCCGGTAAAGAGTGACTCGACGCTTGGTCCTTGGGAATCGTTACCGTGGAGAAGCTTTATAGTGTGTCTTTGTCTCAGAAAGCTGGGAGCACTTGAGAGACATTTCCACAATAAGCAACAGCCATGGTTCCAATTCTGGCAGTCGCCATTCAAGA